CGGTGACGCCCAGCGACGTGGGTCTCTCAGAGGTGGGTACTACCTGCTTTCCACTGAAAAAGTGCCAGCTTTTTTTGTTCCTCACATTTTTGGGTTCCCCCATTCTTTAAGAATCAGAACTGCACTGAAATGCAAAGCCAAAGGCATGTCATTCTGACAACCGCCATCCGGTGACAAGGAGATTGTTGACCTCGGAAATGATGGCCAGTGATGTGAAATCACTCAAACGCGAGGTAAGGCTATGATCTAAAATTCGCTCAAATCACAGCAGCTTGCTGTGAACCAGCTGACTCCTAGCTGACTTGCATACCTTTGGTTTGTAGAGCATGGGCGAGGCTGAAGACATGTCATAGTTGTGACCCTGTCCAAGAGTATATCTAATGAATGCCAGCTCACAGGGAACATGCGCCCTTCTCGCTGCAGCAGGCAGCTCCAGCATTCTTCACATTCCAGGCATCTGTGCATGTCCCAACCTGAGATTTGGACAAGAGTTTGGGAATCAAACCTGAGAATGAGCCGTAGTCTTCGCAGGTGCTATCCCTACAAACAAGCTAAATTGAACACAAACATCGTGCTGTTGACATCGCTACAGTAGTTCATTCTCAAGATACATTAATATGTTACATGAATCATGAACGTTAGTAACATTAGGCCTCGTCTCTCTCTCTCTCTCTCTCCGAAGAAAAATGGCATGGTCTCTTGGAATTGCCAGGGATGTGCAAGCGTTGTGCTTGCTGAGCAAGCTCTACCACAGTCTTCCCTTCGACAAACCTTGGACAAAGTGCCCGACTGCATCGCCCCGCTCGGGAAAGACAGCCAAAGCTCTCAATCGAAGCCTTTAAGCCAAGCAACTCCAGTGCACTCCAAGTAATCTGATGCACTCCTGAACCTGACTATAGTGTCCGTGTCTGCTGTGGTGCAGGTGGTTGAACCGCCCTGACAGAGCAAGAATCCTTTGGGAAAGCGATCCTTATTTGCTGGCAGGACCTTCTTGTCGTCGAAGTCGCACTCGAAGCAGGTGTTCCTCCCGACACAGTCGCCGTTGTTGTAGTTGAGAGGCTCGCAGGTGCTCTGTGTCTCGGCCTCCTGTCGACGCATCCAGACAGTGACATTTGAAGCTGGGACAATGGGAACATGTAACATGGGTGGGCCATTTTTTTCTTACAGTGGTTTCAGAGTAGATGGCACTGGCACCCCTACATGTCTTTTAGATCCGGGGTCAATATACACCACCGACATTGGTGATTGTGCCATTGAACCTCTGAAACCACTTTTTTGTGTTCTTTCTTCTTTCCAAACTTCTTCAGATCGCCAATGAAAAAAGAAGCAGCCCGCCACCTTCGTCTTCTCCACATGACCAAGGCGAGGTTGAAGAAGAACCGAGTCGTCAGTCACACAGCCCTCCTGAAGCAACCATTTAGGCCGGAGGGGCAGTGGGAGAATTCGGGATATCTACATTATATATATATATTATATAGTTTTTTCATGTTTCTATTTTTCTATTTTTTCAGTATGCAAAGGACTAGCATTCATTAGCATCAAGCATTTGTCATTCCCTTGTAATGGCCTTTCACACACACACACACACATCACATCATTCTCAGGGTTCTCTTTCAAGGACTCAACCACACTGGTCGACCATCCCAAACGCCTCACCACATTGCGAAAATGCCAAGCACGTGAGGAGCAACGACGCCGCGAGGAAAAGTGGTCCCATCGGGATGAGCCTTGGGAAGGTGAAATTTCTGTGACACGCGGCAGTGCCAAGTGGACGTCAACAACCTAAGAGCGATGACCTCCAACCGACGAGCGATGTCAACAACATGGTTGCTTTGAGGGAGACTTTGCGCAAACATCGTGCAATGCTTCAGTGCAGTGTGCACACTTTGCTGGCAAACACAGCTCAAATAAACATACTCAAAATGCTGTACTACAAAGGCCTTTCATTGGGCCACTAAGCTAGAAACGCAACATTGCTGTAATTGTACCGTGATGTGACATAAACCTTCTGATTTGGTAACATATTGTAACATTTCGCAGCACTATCTTCTTGGAAAACAACTGGCCCGATGTAGGAACAAAGGAAGCACATTCTTTTGGAGGGTGGAGTTGATTGGTGGCTCGCTCTCACAAAGCAAGCTCAGTGAATGCTCCGCATATCCTGCGCAACGGGAAACTTCTGACACCAAGCGAAACCAAGTGCCTGTTTAAGCGGGTATAAGAGGGTAATTATAGGTCAAAGCCCTAAATCGTGCTAGGTTGACACTTGTGCTAGTCGATGCTGTTCATTTGTGGGGGTCAACCAGGATTCTAGGGTTTTGACCATTGATGCAGTGAGTCGGTTTTCTTTTCCCGGCGCGCGACCTGTGGCAGAGTGAACTTGAGTCTTTTCAGGAGTGTGGAGCATGACTCGACATGAGTGAAACTCACAGCTCTAGCTCTCTAACCACCTAGTATAGACATGAGATGCAGGAAAAACCACCCGCCAGTAGTGATGGGATTAGTCGGTTCTGTGCTCAAACTTCTAACTTCATCGTTCGCTTCCATGTCATGATGAAATATTATATACGATAAATTCACAGGTCCTTAGGAGTGCTAAGTCATGAACCAAGAAATTAGCAAAATCAGCAAACTTAAAATACCCTCTTGATGGTTCCTTCAGATTCAAAGCATGGAAATGGAGGAAACACCTTCGTGACGTGTCAGTGTCCCAGTTCCTATACACGCCAAGATTTGCGTGAGCATGAATGGGATCTGGGGAGGGTCTATTAATCAAGAGATCTACATTAACATCAACCACTAGAACGATTCTCTTTTTTACAAAAGTCTTTTCTCTGCGTTCCGCTCCAAGTCGCGTGTCGGGTCCAGTTGATCGAGCAAGGTTCGGTGGGTTCACTGTTGAGCCCAAAGACTCTGTGCACAGGTAAACTCTCTGACCGTCAAAAGGCCACCGTCGTGAGAGGCGTCCAAAAGAATTCCATATTTCGGTGTGAAGGATGGGGTGCCCAGAAGATCCAATTTTGTGGGGACTCCAAACTCCTTTGAAGGAGACATGTGGAGGGTACCCACCAGGTGAGTCCCCGCACGTTCCGCGGCGCGGGCTTTCCGCGCCAAACACCGTGCGCCGCGGATCGATCGGAGCGGATCGATCGGTCGAAGGGCCGGTGATCGGAAGGGCCACGACAAAGCGTCTCGCTGTCGTGATTCGAAGCGAACTTGACCAGACATGGTCGGCGCGAGTCGCATCAATTTAAGGCTACCATGGGCCATTGGATGGGCCCTGGACACATTGTTGCTTCCGTCAATATCTCTCCCTCCCGTTTCAAGGCACGCACATGCGTCACAGATGCGCAAACATCACTCTTTTTATAAGCGAAACAGCAGCTGGCTAGCGAGCGACTAGTTGGACAGAAGCTAGTCCCTGTGCATCTCCCAGTTTGATGCAAAACTTTAGCAGTGCAAGGAAACCCCGTGAGGGGTTGTGGCATCAATGAATTTGATGTTGGAGAGCCATTCTCCAATGGGAAAAAAACACAAGGCGTGGCACGCTCGAGAGCTTCCTCACTACCCACTTGCTGTCTCAGCTTGTCTCCGGATTACATGGAGACGCAAACACACAGGCAGCACAGGGGTATAGCCATAACCATGGCAAACCGGTTTGCAGCTTTGCCAGGTTTGACCCCTTTGACTAACTCAACGGTCCATGGCCCGAACCGCTCGGTCGATCGGGTCGGTCTCACCACGGGTCTCGGCTGCCGAAGCCGATGGCAAGGATCTCCTTGAGGTCACCGGACATCTCCGGTCAAGCGCCGCGGTGTGAAACAGTGCCTCCCTGCGGTCATGATCTTATAATCTACATGATCTATCCGGAAATCCAGCATAGAGTGGATAGAGTGTGGAGTCATGACGGATTTGCCCAAATCGGAGTCCTTAAGCTGGTGTGGCCATACCACTGCATACTGCATCCCCCAAAGCACCGTTTTCCTGCCTTGGCATCCGTCGGCACCGCAACAACCGGACCCAGCTCGCGTCGACCCCAGCTCGGCGACTGAGTCCCGTCCAGCAAGGCGTCCGTTCGTTCGAGCGTGGCCCGCAGTTGGCTGCTCGATCTGCCCTCAGTTGGCTGCACTCAGAACAGTGATGCCCAGATGATACGGACACACAACAACACAAATGAATGTATACCAGGGCCCACTGTTTGGGGTGGTTCATGGAGACCCCTTAACCTCTAAGGAGCTATAATTAGACACCCCTTAGTGGGCCCTGGTATATTTATTTATATAGTCTAGTTTAATTATGACGGCACATTTCTCGTGCCATCGGCGGTGGAACTATATACAATGACAATAACTATATGCACTATACAAACATGTTTAGCATAGTTGAATGAGGTTGAATGCTGCTTGGCAGCAAAGTGTGCGGCTTTGAAGGGGAAACATGGAACAGTTAGAGAGTTGCATTTTGAAGCACCCTGCCAAGCTTCCGACATCTGCGGGACTCAATGCTCCAGTTGCAGCAGTGCAGGAGGGCTGAGATGATGGCGTCAAGCCTGATTTGATCTCGCCTGGATCCTGACCAGCTCAACTCATTTCACGATATTTCACGTATGTTCAGCACTTCTCATCTAATCTGCTCTTCTTGGATGTTGAATGATGTTGAGATTCAACATATTTCCAACATGCCCGCCCCACGTCTCGCTGGGTCTTCCAACCAGTCCTCTCATGTCGATGCGCCGTGCAACTGCCAGTGGCCGCGGACGTCGAGAGGGCTCCACTTCCGGACGTCGAAATCAGCAGCACGAGTCCTTCTACATTCGCCATGGATAACCAAGTAAGCCATGGATAATCATGGTTGACCAATGTTGAGACGCAAGTTTGGTGTCCCAACTTCACTGTCCCAAAGTCGAACACCGCCTTTGTTTGGGCCGGTGTCCACCGAGGTGGCGTGGAGGCGGACGAATTCCACCAGGCGCAAAGCGCACCGCGCCGAACTCCAGACCTTCAGGCCCAAGGTCTCGATCCGCGATCCGCTTCGGCCCAAAGGATCACCTCAGGTGCGAGTCCGCCGGCAGACCAGCTTTTGGACACCCATTGGACACCCTCCCGTTTTGGCTTCGTTTCCGGACCCGAACACCAAGCATCACCGAACCCACTCCCTGACGACAGGGGGACTTCTTTGGGTCGCCGGGGCCCGCCCCGTGACCCCAGGCGAGGCACAGGGCCCCAGGAGATGGAGACGCCACGGGTGCCTCGGCCGCGCAAGCAGATCTCGCAAGCCTCGGCCAGAGGCCCCAAACGTGAACCAGAAAGACACGACGGTGTGACGTTCGGAAGCGGGTTCCACACTCCGAGTCGGATGAATTGGTTGAGTTATGTTGAGTTTAAGAGAGTACCTCTCAGAGAGGTCCTGTACCTGGCAGGTCCTCCCTTCGGGACCGTCCAGTCCTCACCCGACCGGACCGGAAGCTAGGCCGATGAAGCCCGCTCCTCTCCTCGGGTCTGGACCCGAAGCAAGTCCCTTAGGGACCGGAAGTAGGGCCGCCCTGAAGGGTGCGTCTGGGTAGAAGCCAACACCAAAACCATATCTTCAAACAGAATATCGATTGATGCTGAATGATGCCTTTGTTGAGCAATTGATAGCAATTGTATCAAAACATCGCGTGCGCACATACTATAGCACATACGTGCGCCAGGAAGCAACCGGCAACAGCCCCACGAATGGCTCCAGCGGCAATGTAGCCCCTGAGCGAGTTTTTCGAAGGGCGATGAAGGACGACCTGTTCCCTCTACCTTCACGCTCCAGGGTTCCGAACACGGAAAACACCCGACCACAGCGCGTATCGTCTCCGCCCAAAACGCGCTGGCTCTGACTTGCCGCAGCGCATCCATTGCTGGCATCTTACTCCCCCTCCCTTTCCCCCCAGCGCATGGATTTTGCGGCGAGACCGCGGCCTCTCATGCCGTGCCACACCAGGGGAGCCATTGCCTCCCGTTTGGGCATCTCCCAAAGCCTGGCTGCCGCCGAGGGCACGATAACATCCTGCACGAGGGCCGTGACCGGATCCGCTGAACATGCGAGATGCAAATCATGAGTGAGGCATCTGTGACGGAATCGAAATGAGTTTCATGCACTTGAAAAGAGTGAAAAGATTCGATTCAGGGGATTTCAGACTGGGCCAACGCCTACAAAACCAACAGAACCGTCCTTGAGGTCCGGATGAGCCTTGCCCATGTGGAGCATGTGGAGCTTCCAAAGGAATCGCCACCAAAGCACCTGACATGGTCTAGCGAGAAAGGTCTCAAAGCTGTTCCGGACTCCATTCCTGCTTGCATTGCTTTCCTAATAGAACATTACGCAACATATTTGAACAAAAGAATCATAACCTTTGGGTTCCTGGCACCTTTCAATCTGTATGTTGCAGGATCAACTTGACCTTTATGAAACAATTGGACAAAACACGTTCAGTATTTCCCTCATGATGTCACCTTACCTCTACATCATGGCTTGAAAGAGCTTCGGAATCTTGCACCAGCTCTCGACCCTGCACGGATGGACATTCCAGGGTGGTCGCTTTGCCCGAGTCGCTGTGCCCTGCAGAAGCACGGCAATCTCATGGTGTCGCCACACCTGCACGGCGATCTCGCTCGGCCGCCCTTTTTGGGGTGTTTGCACATGATACACGAACCGGATCAACTACCGGAGGGGAGGATTACCCTCTGACAAACACGGAAGTTGAACATGGCCCCGAAAGGAAGGCTCGTTGCCTCTACCCACTTCCAGGGAGGATAGACAAGGCCTCTCTTCGTTCCGGTGCTCATCCCCCCTTCGTTTCACAATGCCTCTCCCGGTTCGCCTTCATCAAGGCCTCTCCATGCTGGGTGTTCACCTGGCCGGGTCTTGGGTCCCGACATACAAAGCGAAGCGAACATCGGGAGAAACTCCCTGAATGGAGGACAGTTGGACAAACAAGGAACAGTCAATCGTTTGGATTCGTTTGGACTCTTCTTTTGGACCTTCTCTTGGACCTCCTCTTGGTGATCCCTGGTTCCACATGGTTCTTCCACACCCCCCCAAAAGAACCATTTTTCGCGCTCACTTCTGCGCGTCATAGCTCCATAACTCCATAACTCCAGGTGTTGGTCGAGGCCAATTGATCTCTCTGACCCCCAAGAGGAGCCCTGCTTTTTGTTCGGCCTTACTTCGCAGCTGCTGCTGCACGTGCCGTAAGGCCCTTCTCTCATGGAATGCTTCACCTGGAGAGCTTCACGACATCGACGTCTCCAAACATCACCCTCGGGGGACAACACCAGTCGCAGTCGGAAAGAGTGATGACCGTGATGACCCGAACCAAAACCTGTCGGGCTTTTTTGTTGATCATGTCATATGTTGAGCCATTGAGCTGAATGAAGCGCATTGGAAACGACCACATGGTCCCTATACGAGTATCTCCTCTCTTTCCTTCTTCCAGAAAGTCTTTCAAGGTGTCCCTCTCTTCCAATACTCACCCATACCCGTGGAATCCGACCATCGCAATTGCTCCCTCTGAGTGTGCCACATGAGTGCCATGCCGAAGCCAAGCCTGCAGCACCCACGGGCCTGCAACGCCCAACATAGTGCCGGGCTCAAATTGCGCGGCTCGGGAACAGTCGTGGACCTGCAGGTCCAACCGCAAATCCTCGTGGAAAAAAAGTCGGAAACCATGGATGACCGAGAAACCTTCGCCCGTGCCGATCAAAACACCAAAAGGACATAAAAGGACCCTCTCCATGTCAGGATTCTGGAGGTCGGGATTCGGGGATTGGCAGCAAACGACCCTCCCGGTTTGGGCCTGGTGCTGGTGCCTCTTAACGTCGCTCATCGCCAGCGTGAGCGTGTGACAGTGACACCCGGCACTGTCTCCGGGAGAGAGGGTGTTTCTCCAGCGTCCGAACGCTCCGTTCGTAGCGATGCCAGGACCCCCTAGCGTCCTTTGCTCCTAGTAGTAAGGCCAGGAACCCCTAGTAGCGTCCCTGCTCCTGTCTCCATCTCTTCTCTTGCTGGAACCGCTTGCCGGACCTTCACTCGCTCCACCAAGCCACTGGGAGTCGACCAGTGCGACGGCTGCTGCCCATCTGTGGCTGCAGCTCAAGGCAGTCCTCCGATCGCGCGAACCAACGACCCCCGGAAGAAAACCGGAAGAAAACCGGTTTGTAGACCGTGTCCCAAAGGGTACTGGCGGACTTGAACGTATTTACTGTCCGTGAATTGTATGATGTGAAAAATCACGTGCACTGCTGTATAAATTAAATTGCTTGTCCACCACTATATGAATTAATCTCAAAGGAATGCGTATGTACATTATGTACCACTGAGGGCAGTGGTTATGTGTTACCCATTGGTTGGGTGTCTCCCTATTAAAATACGCACACCTATATGTAACAAATGTACTTATATAATAATGATCAAGCGTCTGGGCTGTCCAGGAAGTATTGGAGCGACTCATCCATACATCCGGGCCCTCTGGTCAAATCATTCGATAGATTGGGTTCTCCAACGTTCCTCGGTGGGTGAGTGGCTCTCTGAGTCATTTCCATCCCGAAAGACCTCTCCATCGACCTAACTTCGCACGGTTCTCCTCTTCGGCTTCGGCCCTACGCCCGGTCCGGACCGGCGTCGGGTCGGGACCCCTCCCGTTGGGTGTTTCGCATCAAGATGCACTGCGATGTCACCCGTCACCTGGCGCATCACTGATCAGTCGTCACTGCTTCACTCACGACATGGGATCCATCCACCATGAACACTAACGGTCAAAGAGGAGACTGCCTGGAACCCGTAAAAGTCCGTGTCGACGCATGCCAACACTATATATAGTGTTGTCCATCTTTTTCGGATTCGATTCGAGTTTTGCTTCTCGGTGCTCAAGTTGGTATCTACGAATGTAGCTAATTCCTTAGACCTTTACAGCTGTCATGACATGACAAAAGCCTCTAAGAAGATCAATGGTCTCAAGCTTAGTTCATGTTTTCGTTCCTTCACCTCGCTCAGTCTGTGCCCATCTTCAGCGAGTTCTTGCCAAAGGCTCATGGTCCTGGAGGCCCGCTTGAGCGACCTCATGTGAACTTTTCGTGTGTTACATCTGTGTTACATGTGTTAACCAATTACCACGTGTTCATGACTTCTGTCAATTACATGTATATGTGTCACATCATGCGTCTGTGTGACATGGAACATCATGTTCACACCAGAACGGCATTAATCCCAATTAGAAGATCTAGACCACTGGATAAACTGGATTTAGTTTGCACTTCAAAACAGTTTGTTGGGGAGCCCTCGACCTTTGCGAAAAAAAGGAAAACTGCTGGTGGATGGAGGGGAAACCTCCTTTTCGCGCATCTTTCCGCGCATCCTTTTCGCGCCGATCTCCTCTGCCAAAGGAGGCTTTTCTTCAAAGCGCCCATGGTGGAATTGTAAGTCACAGTGCCTCTGGCGACCCAGCGACGCGAGCGACCGGCCCAGACCGAACTCATCAGGTGCCAGTCGTCGTTCTTTTCGAGGCCCAGGCCCGTCGCCGGTCGTGTCTTCAGCCATCGAATGCTTGAAAGACTCGCTTGAAAGAGATTGAGAATTGCATGTCTTTGAGAGTCTTTGAGAATTGGATTGTGACGCTTCAAAGACTCGCCACTCTTTTGCAAACCACAAGAGCTCGCAGCTCGTGGAGAAAAAGGACAGCCCTCCCGCCCTCCCCAAGGGCTCTGTTGGAGCAATGGCATACAGTAAGCAGGTTGGATCGTGGGCCCAAACTGCCCAAACATCGTGATGGTTGGTCGTCTTATCGTGATCAAGTACTGGTTTGATTGTCAGACGTGGGAAGAACATCAAAAAAAGGAGACTCTCTGATGCTTCTATTTCCCCAAGGAAGCCCCATCCACATTCCACAACGTCTCCATGTTTCTTGCAGCTCGGGACCGTAGGTCCAACCACGTACAGTTGGCTGAGCTGGTCACCAAATTTTGAGAACAGTAAAGGTCAAAAAGGACAAAAAAGGTCAAATTGAACACGGTTGAATCAACGCAAAAAAGGCTTTTTGATAAGTGAACACGGTTGACATGAATAAACATACATGAACACGGTTGCGTCCGGTTTTGTCCAGGTCTTCCTATGACCAGGACCTTGCACCCAGGCACTTGGCTGAAGATCTTCGCATCTCATCTGCCGGAGCAACTGCACCTGGATTTGACTACAGCCGGAGCACGAAGTCGAAGGCAGTTCAGAAGGGCTTCAAATGGCTTGAGTGAAAAAGAGCTGTCGAACGCAAAACTGGATTCAAGATATTCGTTCGTCAGTTCCGAAGACAAAGATCCTTCTTCGGTTCTGACCAAAAATCCCAGGACGCTTCACATCACACATCTGCATCATCTCACATTCCGATCCTTCAACCCGAATTCCGCTGATGCCGGAGCACCGCCGTAGACCATGCGTCGCTCAGCTCCAAAGCGTTCACAGCGGTGTTGTAGGAGACCTGAAGGAAACACGGTGGAGAGACCTTGGATATCATTTTCAGTCAACGTCCTTCTTCACGAAGACAAGAACTTGGAGACGAAGACAAGCATGTTGCAGCAAACTTCGATGACCCTAGGAATCCTTAGACTGTCCATGGCAGGGGTTCGAACCCTCAATACCTTTCCCATATCAGATTCTTCGAGCAATATACTTTGGAGATGTGCCATCGCTTGACTCATGACTCAGGACTTTACCACATCCCAGTTCCGCTTCACTTGATCCAGGTTCACCGAACGCCTCAACTGCACAAGATTTACCTTTCAAACACCGCACAAGTCCCAGGAAGAAAATTCTGAAGCTTCCCACAGAGGCCTGGCCTGGCTTCGGGCTAGCACCCCAACAAGAAAACTCCCCTCGCCTCGTCTGGAGTGATGCCAATCTTCCATGGCATCTCCTTGTCGAATGCGTCTCCGTTCGTGGCGACTTCGTGGCGTTGAATCGATCCCTTCACTCTCCGACATGGGCTGTGCAACAGAGACAGGAGACACTTTTGGAGGACTCCCACATGCCACCTGCAACACAGCAAGGGCTTGTTGCCACCGCAGCATCCGTTGGCAGTTTTCCAGCACAGTATTGCACAGAATGAGGTCTGGCCTGCAAGCAGAGTTGAAAGGCTCAAAGCATGGCATGAATCCAAAGAGACTGTTTGGCTACTCATCTGGCAGCAACAGTTTCATAGATTCATCTCCCTCAACGATGAATCATATTTATGTGTCCTATATTTACATAGCGGGAGGGCTTGAGAGTGATCATGCGTGGCCCAGAATGAAGATCCTGGGATCGGAATACCACCGCTATTATCATCTGCTCTTTTGAAACCAACTTGGGCTTTAGCCCTTACGTTCCACAAGAAGTTATTCTACGAACGGAACAAAGGGCATCGCTACAGTACGGAGCGTTCGAAGGGACCCGAACACGGGGCTCCTGGCGGCCGTAGTAGACTCTTTTCGGCAAGCCCCCCCCCAAAAAAAAAGAACAGTTCCCGTTCCATGTCACTTCCGGTTGCCCGCCTCACATCGGCCTCATTGCAGAGTGACAGCAGTCTCAAGGCTCCTCAGCCGAGCGCCGACCGGCCGATCCTGTGAAGGAGTGAACGGGTCGACCGCTCGCCTCATCCGGTTTCCGGAAAGGAACCCCGCAGCAGCGTCCCTGCGCCGTCTCCTCTTTTGGATTCTTCTTTGGTCAAAAGCATTTCGCAGGTGGATCTGGCTGAAAATTTTCTCGGTCGTTTCATTCACTTCACCCTAGCCGATGCTTAAGACAACCTTCCTGAGACCGGCCCAGACTCAAAGGCGTCGAATCGCTTTCCCACCAAACTCCCTGCTCTCCTGGGCCTCGCAGATGGCGGCCCAGTGTGCTGATGGTCATTACGCTGGGTTGCAGGCCCTCCGGTCGTTGCTTCGGGACATCACTTCAAAGAACACTGGAAAGACGACGACGACTCCGCAGGGCTTTGATGGATTGTGGCTGGACATGCAAGCCATCCAAGCTGGACATGCTAGATTCCGAAGACAAAGGCCGATGAGCAGATTGGATCATTGAACCAAAAGGTCATTGGAGGAGGTTAAACATCGTCTGTTCGAGTGAATCAGCAGGTTAAACAGCCGGCAACACAAGCTAAACATGAACACCACGCATCATAGATGTCTTCACACTCCAATTTGCTGGTATCATCAGTGTGAAACCCAAACACTACGTGTCAAACGCCTCCCGCATCATCTGCTGCCATACTGATAGAGCCTGGCAGAACGTTCGTTTGTTTTGGACCCTTCATATTTTCTGGTCTCGTGTGTGGTCCAATGAGGCAAGCCACAGAGTTCGCATGGTTTCGTGTGTTTTTCAAGTCGAACGCCTCCTTTAAGTGCCAGCCATAAGCAAAACATCTTAAGATCTCAACACAGGACACATCGCATCCTGAACCCTTTCGCACTGGAGGTCGTACTCCACGTCTGTCATCGCACCGAGTTCGGATCCGGATCCGTTCTTCGCTGTGCCTGGACCCAAAGACTGTTGGTTCCAAGGACGGTCATCAGACTGTTGTAGGAAATCACCTTGACGCCGTCCAACGGTGTGTTTTCACGGTGCGTGGTGGTGTTTGACACTCTCTGAGGTCATTCGGAGAGTGATGGGTGATGAGATGTTCTGGAACAGTTTTGGTGCCGTATTGCCATGTACGGCCAAGTATTGCCCAAACCCACATGTTCACTGCTTCCACTGTCCATCAACAATGCCATTGTCCCACACCTGGAAGTCCGCTTTCGTTCTCCACTGGACTTCTCGACCTAAGCACCCCGACGCTAGGCTGAGGCCGTTCTTCTTTACGCTCTTCGCCACGCTTCTCGAGGGCTGAAAACCACCAGATGGCCTCGGGTCGGCGTTGAGGAGGAATTCGCCGAAGAGCCGTTTTGACTGCCGTGGCGTCTGAGCAGCCTCTCCATTACTCGCAGTCCAACGTGGGATTTTGGTCCAACGTGCGTTCCATTGCGAACGTGATGTCGACAACTTGTAGGGAGAAAGGAAGAAGACCTACGTTCCTGGTCGGCTCAAGCTTCCACAAATTACAGCTCAGATTTCCAGCTTTTGTAGGTGCCCTCCTCACTCAGATGAAGTGGATGCAAGTGGACCATGACCCTTGGGAAGAAGAGTTTCGTCTACAAACAGGTGGTTTTTCACCTCTCTCCACTTCTATATATATAATATATATATATATAGTGTGTGTCAAACGGCATCCTTCGTTTTCCTTTCCAGTGCAAAATGCTCCGTGTCCCGAGGTCATATGTGCCTCTTCCCAACGTCGACTACAAGCATTGATCATCGCATTGTAGGTCACCACCTCAGATGAAGCCCTTTCTCACAGACTCAGATTGTGCATCAAACAAACATTTACTCGTTTCAATATGTATCATATCATTTGTGCGGATTTGGACACTGGGAACTCGCAATCGTTTGGAACTTTCTTGGCAAAGGACCTCTGCAATTTCATCTTAGAAGTGTTATAGAAGATTATAAAGTTATAGAAGTATGATAGAACATGGGTTTTCCGCCCTCTGATGTTGCCACATGGCGCCTGGAGGTGAGAGCCTTATCAGGGGGACCTCTCCAACTTTTGGGGTGAGCAACTAGATAGGAAAGACAACTAGTTCAGAACAGAACCAACAATTTAACAACAAAAAACCACATATCCGATGTTTTTTGTATTGTATTTTCTTATATACTCTCAGCAAGTCCTCGCGATTCCAAGTTTGCTTTAGTCCAATGTACCCGATGCGTCCGAATGGCGGTGGGTCGCAAGCGTCGAACAGGAAGCTGGTGGAAAAGCTCCTGGGTCGTCTTCAGCTCCACCGTCCGACCGCATGACATGTCCAGAGAGTACAACATGTCCAAGAGAATTCAGCTTCAGCTTCTTCCCATCTCTTTGAGCATGTGATGATATGAAATCACACGATCCACCCCGTCGAACACATCTATTCATTGCGATGAATGTGCATAGCATCATCTGCCACATGCTGAGCACACTCAGAAAGGCTCCAACACACTGAGCCCCAACATCTTTGGGCTTCCAACTGTAGCAATGTGCCATTGCAAGCCTGCCGCGGAATGAAATGGAACCGGAGGATTTACAATCTTTCTTCTACCATTCTGTTTCTGGGTACCAGTAGCTTCTGGCCATGATCGGATGAAAAGGCCCTACTCAGTGCTCCATAGCTTCCCCAACAGCACTTTTCATTGTCCGAGCCCGCCTCGACCACAAATATTGAGCACCGTGGTGCATTGCGCCACGTCAAGAGCTTCAACCTGGATGGCTCAAAAGAGTATCGCGAACAGCCCCAAAGGGGGCTTGGCGATTGGTCCAACGACAAAGATAGTAAAGTGGTGTCTGTGAGGGATATGGCATTTGACGAAAAACTACCTGGAAAGGAATCTTTAAGGCAAAGCTTCCCCACCGATGGCTTGATGGCCAAGGAACGGTATTGGGCGTGCGGCTTGCAGTGTCGCAGACTGCTTTAATCCTCTTATACAAACGGGGGTCGGAATGAGGCTTACTTCTTCTCCCCTTCTTCATTCCTTCTGCATCGTGTTTTTCGTCAAACCTTGGTTTAGACTTCAAAAAAAGCTCACTCAGAGGGCTCTCCTGTGCCACTTGGAGGGCTCTTTGCCATTGCACCCGCCGACCGCAGGTCTCAAGAACCTGGGCGGCTCGCCGTGGCTTGCGGCTTGGGCTCTGGGAGGTGGTTGCTCAAGCCGAAGCTTCTCCTGTCAACACGTTGCTCAGGTGGTCAAGCGTCAGGCGCACGGTCCCTCCTTCGACATCTCCATCTTGAAAGATACACTTCTTATTGAGATTGACGCACTGGCAGATGCACTGGCAGATGCAATAGAATTAGACACTTAGAGCCTAGAGCTCCGAAAAGCCTTTGGGCATTGCTCTTATCAATCTGAATCTCTGCCAAGATGTGTCACTGCCCCGCACTAGTGGCTTTTCCCGTTTCTGGCCAAGCTTGAAATGTGCAACATCGGAGAACCACCAACGTTGGTACGTTGGTCAAAAGACCCAGCTTTGCCCCTTCCCTCTTGCCCTTTTGCATTGACTATGCTAAGAAGTTACTTGGGTCGGCGCTGGCAGGAGTTCTGCCAGCTTAAATCCGCGCAACACGTAGAGAAACACGTGCATGATCGAAGGCTTCGCCCAGATAGTCTGTCTACTTGAATATATATATATATATTGAATATTGTAGGTTGGAGGCCATCGCTATTGCAATGCATGTAGATTTATTCTTCCAAGTGGTCCAATTGCCTGGGGCATCTGCCAAGGTGACAGCATTCTTGGCCATAAAAGACCTGTGGCACCTGGCGTAGCAAACATCCAAACCAGCGAGACGGTGGACTTCATCGGAGAACCCACACACAGGGTATCCCCAGGGGATTTCAAGCAAGCTGCTGAGGTTTTCATGTCTTGCAAATTGAACAAAGTCAGCACATTCTGATACGGAAAAGAGACAGCTTTTGTAGCTAAAGGAACAAGAAGCTACTAGGAGCAAAGGGCATCGCTACGAACGGAGCAAGAGACTGCTTCTGGAAGCTTTGACTCCGCGTGGCACCTTCCTCTCCCCAGGACCTGTTCCGGATCGTCCATGCGTCACCGGTGGAACGACCGAGCGCTGCTCCCGTCGCCCTGACCCGCCCAACTCCTCGTCTCGGGCCGTCGACTTTTCGATCTTCCATGGCTGAGGACGTGCGCGGAGGACGTGCGCGGAAGCCCTAAGGAGTGGGGCTCCACGTGCTGGTGAATTGCTAAACATGTACTTAAGAATGTATACATGTGACTTCAGACTGAGGGTTGGGATCAGACATACTGAGGGATTTAAAGGGGGGCTTGGACATACTTGGGGGGCCACTAGTGCAGTGCACAGCTGATCCCTTAGTCAAAGAAAAAATAGCTGAAATGTACCCGGACGACCCTGGGACATCGTCCGGTTTTCTGCACAGCATGTCACATGGCCGAGGACGCACTCTACTGTTGAGCAAAAGATGAGTGTCCAACAAAGGGACTTAGCTGGGACCCCATCTTTTCAGAGCATCTAAAACCCACACACCTGGCCGATTCGGAAGAAGAGCCTTCCTTATAAAGTCGCTCAAGTCCGAGTCCGAACGTACTACTTTGCTCATCGGAACGCGAGTCTGTTACACTCTGTTCATCTGAGCACAGCACCGAGGAAACCAAGGCCACCCAGGCCCTTGGCATCTGATGTACGAAGCGCATGACATCGCGCGCATAGGCTCAGGGTGGCGTGATTCCAAGTGATATCTGCTAGGGTGGCTGACACCTCTTTTTGGATCTGTTTTGTAGGACCCTCCGACTTTCGCTCAATTTCTTGCCACCTCGAACCTGATTTTTCGCTACATGCTACCTCTTTGGGCACTTCCCGGAATCCTCAATCAAATGGAAGGGCCAAAAGCACGTCCTCAGTTCACCTGGTCAGTCCGAACAGACTTCGGCACCTTCGTCCACCTTTGGCTCTTCAGTCACCAGCCACGGGGCCGTCGCACCGCCCCTCCACCGGGCCCGCGCGCCCAAACGAGCGCGGCGATCGCACAGCGCAGCGGACCTCAGCGCGGTGGAGGAGCCGTCGCCGGACGTTTTGTGTCGTTTTTATAGTAAATTGGATGATACAATGATATACAGGATTGAAGTTTCCAGAAACAGGTAATATTTCACATTCCAGATTGTTGTTGTAGGAATCTCAAGCTGGAATCTGGTAGAACATCTGATTCCAACAACACCAGTCTCACTGCCTGACACCCCCGGCTTTTCACTTGCGAAAGCGCCCCTCTGTCCTGGCCACAAGCAAAAAACGCGCGTCATGCGCTTGGAAGACCCCGAAACCATATGCCGGGCTGGGGGTAGCATTCATCAAAATCAACCCAAAGAAACTCGTGTTATCTCGTCAATGAAGAGCATTCTATTGAACAAGCACTTGAACCTGGATTTCCGAAAGCTGACGCAAGCGTCAGCGTTTCCAGCTCAAAAGAAACCAACCTTCTCCAGTCTAAATGCAGTTTGGTGATTACCATGGTAGGAGTACTGTTTCAGTTGAAAGATGGGGTTGTTCGGTGTCACACTCTCAACACTCTCACCAGCCATCCCCATTCTCAGCACCCCTTTCGTGGTGCAGGTCCACTTGTGCTTGTGGCGCTTGCAGGCGCACAACCGACACCGTGCTCGCACCGGTCTCCACGCTGCGCAAGCAGCTTCGTTTGACCGGTCACGCGCAAGCTTTGGGACAGCGCAAGACAATCGACAGCGGGCAGCCACGACAATTTTAGTTTTGTCTTGCCATGCGGACAACCATTGCACTGGCTACAGTATTTCAACCTGCCATGTGGGCAGTGACAGCCACGACACACGTGGGATCTTGGTCTTGCGGAAGCACCACGGCAGCAACTTGCCATGTAGACAGGGTTGACAAAGCCAATCTTCTAGTCTCACATGGTCGACGAAGCAGCGCGCTTTCTCAATCTCTGAATATCTCTGACATGTGTGTTCGCTGAACTTTGCTTCATGACACATGACAGCTCCAGCTGGAGCTGTCAGCTTCTGAAGTGATTGTTGAAATTCTAAGCTCATCTGCTGGAATTTCTGAATTAGCTTCTTCAATCGCTGGCTGGGTTTCAGCCTCGGGTCCACATCCAATCGCTGCAAGCATTCAAGAACCACCGCAGCCGCCTTCCGCAGCCGCCTTCCGCAGCCACCGCCACGGCTTTCCAAAGACGAAAAGCAAATGTTCCTTCCTGGTTTGCACCGGATGTTCCTGGTGATCCGATGCCGTGTTCTGCATTGTTCTGCCACCATTGTTTCATGGCTAACAATCAGCCGAACTGCTTTGGGACTGGAGTCACCAGATGCATTCCGCATTCCCTTTCAATGAATCTATATTGATGTAGTGGATTGGGAGTGAGATCATGTTCCAAAGCAGCCATTGCTGATCCTTGTCCGGATTTGCATCGACCCCTGCTGAGCGGCTAGCAGTGTCCAATGATTCCAGGTACCGTGCCAATAGAAGCACCGCCAAAAAATCATCTATATAATTGTGAACGGATGGAAAGGTGTGCCCTGGCCCCGTTCTAGCTCTTAGGTCAACATGAAGCTCGCGCGCTAAAGCTCCTTTTTACCTGGTTGGGCACTTGAGCCAAAAGTATATGGCATGTACCTGTATAGCGACTATACTGGGACCCCATCCCTATTGACACCCCCCACATCCGTACTTCGACGGGGAAGGGAGATGAGTGGATGTAAAAACCGGAGAACGAATCACGTTCTCAAAAGTGTATTGGAGGTCAACCAGTATGTCCTATTGAATTGAATTAGCAAAATATCTTGCATTCGCTTGAAAGTTGGATCAAACAGGCAATGGAGCTACAAGCGGAAAACGTGCACCTACCTATGGTATCATGCGATTACCAACGGTGTGAGACACAATCCTATCTCACTCCCATGATGCCAAAACGGTCATCATGAATTACCCGAGATCCCTCAGTACTTGAAGTACCGGAAGTGGCATGTCGGTATGACCCCAATGCTCAACCATTCGTGAGTTGTCGCATGTAGTCAGCGCCGACAAATCCAATGTAGTCCTTGATGAGCTCAACGTTCCTTGGATTTCCCGCTCGGATCTGCTCCTCGAAGGACTTCAATTTCCTTGCTTGGATATCGGATACCTCTATGCCATAGTAGCGGCATGCAACGAGGATCTCCTTCGTGACATTCTTCCTCTCCGATTTGATGGCGGGACTAATGTCGATGAATTTGTATGGAGCGGCACTTTCGTCATCTGGTTTCTGGTAGTAACTATATCGGCTCGCTCCGAAGGTCTTCTTGATCATGCGTCTGATGAAATTTGAGATGAATGCCAATTTCTCGATGATCTCATCCTGGGTCTCAGACTTTCGAGCCTTTGGATCACTCATGCTACGCTGAGTGTTGCCGACCTCTTTGAGGTACTTGTGGCTAAGCCCGCAGCGGATTGCAGTGATCATCATCGGATGAACAACGTTGGCGTGGAATTCATAGATCTGCCACGCTTCTGCTGCAAACACGTCGTCGGTCCATCTGCCCATGCCTACGACCTCGGCTCTCTTGAGACGTCTTGGAAACCCAGTATCCGGATCTTTCGGTACTATTGGCCATCTATTGTGCGGAGTGTCATGCCGCTGTCCATCGTCGAACATTCGCAGTACATCTTCACGACTCTCAAAGCAGTTGATGTCGAACGTTGCGTTGGCCAAGCCCTTGATCAACTTCATCAACCTCAGATCAAATTGCTGTGTGACGGCAAAGTTGTGGTCGATGGGGATCGCAGCTTCTTGCGGCAATTCGTCAATTGCGAAGGGGAAAGGCTTCGGAAGTTCATTCCCGTATCCATCTTGAGGGACCTCCCGATACTCGGGTTCGCCTTCAGCTTCGTCCGGTCGTTCCTTCAAAATGATAGGAACTTCCTCCTCTTCCTCTCCTTCGGATTCCTCGATCTCAATGACCTCTTCGGCTGTCTTGCGTGCGTTCTTGATGACTTCATCGATGTTTGCACCTGCAGCAGAGGTTGTTTCACCGGAAGAACCGGCTGGGACATCTTTCGGAGGTGATCGTTGATTGCGGTCCCTTGTCTCCTTGGGTACCACATGTGTGAGCTTCCCATTCGCGATCAAAACCGCTACGCAGTGCGGACATATCGTCAATCGCACATCGACTTCGCCAAGACAGTTAGGACACGGCCTTGAATCATAGTCTTTCATCGCTCGGCGGTACACGATCTCCTCGAAGAGTTCCTGCCACTCGGTGTTATCATACTCTGGGTAAACACCACTCTCCTCGATCATACTCAACAGCTTTAAGATTTTGGCGTCGTCCTCGCAGTAGGTATCGTCCTGAACCTCAACCGCCAAGCTCTCAAGCTTTTGAAAGCGTGGAATCATGATCGGGTTTCCGTATTTGGACTCTAGAACAAGGTAGCTTCCAGGGTCGGGTTCCCCACTGAGTAACCGGATCCATTCGATCTTCTCAGGCTGTCCGGGTTCCGCATTGTCGCATTGCAACCATGCCCCTTTAACCTCATCGAAGGGAACGACGTTCTCAACCAATAGAGACCCAGTCGCTGAGATGAGAAGTCCGTACTCCTGCAGCTTCCACACCGGAATGTAGAGAACCACTGGGCGATCCCTCATTGCGACCTTACGACCCAGCCAAGGTTTACCCTTGTAGCCCTGTTCCCAGGCCCATGGCGGAAAACATGTGAAGTGGATAGAATCCCTTCCCGATGAACCGAGACCTCCCGGCACTAGCCCTTGTCGCATGATTGAAGTCAGCGCTCCGAGATTGGTAGCGTGAAATGCAGTCACCATAGATAGGGCCATGTCGTTGGTCATTCTCGACCCAATGTGGTCGATGTCAATGGTAACGTCATAACCTCCGCCGTCTGTTGAGTGTGCCGAGGTTGCTCTTACAGCCACGGGAAAGCACCATCCATCGCTATGGTGGAGTCTTCCTTTAGAGATTCCCATGTCCTTGAGTTCGTTAATCCATCCCTTCTCCATCGGGTCATCAGGCTCATTGAGTTCATCAGGGTGAACACGGACCGCTAACATTTGGAATCTGACCCTCTTGGTCATGCGGAAACACTCATAGTTTTGGTCGAAGTACTTCTCCAAACGCGCCTTCTTGGTCACGATATCTATGTTGCCGTAGTGATAACCGTCTTCCCAAACTGCATTATCACCTAACAGGTCTTCCCATGACACCCATGCGCCTTCATCGCATTTGATTGGTGCGAGTCTTCCTCCTGTCCTGAACTGGCGTCCAATTCGATGTCTCAACTTCGCTCCCAATCGACGACTCAGGGCCTGGCTCGTTTGGCTGTATTCACGTACTCGACAGTCTGGAGTCGGATACTTGTGGTTGCCGTAGTCGGAGTTCTTTGCAGCGAAAGTGACTCCGTTGATCGGTACTAGTTCAACTTTCCCGACCATCGTCATGGGGTCGATCGGCTTGTATCCCTTCTCCCTCCGTGTTGGTAGGGGATAGAAGTGATGACATGCCTTTGGTGTGAGGGAACTGGAGTGCACAAATGCCTTCTCGACAAATTCATACACCTCTTTCATATCCTTAGGGCCTGCTTCCACAAGCTTCCGCCCATTGTAGGAATGTGGTCCTCCTTCGACTCCATCAGCACTTTCGATCAAGGTGAATCCGTCATGGTCGAACATTGTCACGACTCTTGCTTTTAACATTTCTTTGCGCCTGAACTCGCTGTCGACCTTTCTATCTGGAGTGGGCGACGCTCTCTGCTTCTTCTTCTTAGGCTGTTCGGTTGGATGTCCTGATGGTACATCGTCGGGTGCAACCTCTCCCTTCACTCTCTTCTTCCAATCACTCAACACCGAGGTGACTGTAGGTGAGGATGAAAGGGTCTTCTCGCAATTGAGAGTTGTGTGTCCCGACTCCATGCAGTGGATGCAGAATTCTGCCCGCCCGATCTTCTTCTCAAATTCGTCGATGGCATGCAGTATTGATGCCTTCGGGTCGGACATGTCAACATCTTGCTCCTCCTTCTCCTGTGCACATTCAGTCTCCGTATCGACACCTTCGGCCTCGGGCTCGCCAGTGGCTCCTGTTCCCTGTTCTGGTTCTTTTCCGATTTCGAAGAAGTGGTCGATGTCGAATTCAGGAAGCGGCATAGTCCTCATGCGGACGAGAATCAGCGCCACGCTTGCCGCCTCATCAGAGTGCGGGTCCATGGTTCTAATCATCGATCGCTTTCGGTTCTCATATGTTGTCCTGTCGTACAGCGATGCAGTGACGCGTTTGATGGATTCCTCTAATCCCGTCCTCAAAGCTTCGATGTCACCCCATCTCCTGAACATGTGCCTGAAAAGTTGAGCAACTTCGAACATGCCCAGCAGCGCTTCCACCATGTCACCTACCCGTTCCTCCGTGGGATCATCTCCGAATATAGTGCGGAATACATCGGGTTCCAGTATGGTCTTGAGGTATTTGGTGTAGCATACGTTGCCAAGGTCATAGGATCCCTGGAAGTACTTGGCGCTGCCGATTTTCTGCTTTTCCACATGGATGCTGGGTCCTCTCCTCGTTTTGAAGAAGTTCTCCGTCATTGTTGATGACAACCTGATCCCCCCGAAGAACGAAATCTCCTTCTGGAAACCTGGATTCTCATTGAAGATGATCATCGCCTCGTGTAAAAACTTCATCAAGTCATCGTGCGGGTTCATCTCGGAGATTACGATGGTGGGAGAAGATACCGTTTGCCCCATGCCGAAGTTGTGAAGCAATCGAGCACATGCATGAAATCGCTTCTGGACGTAGTCTTCTGCGGACATCCCACGGCATCTGTTTGCTGCTCCGTTGATGCATTCCGTATAGCAATCGTCTTTCAACTCGAAGTCTATGGGATTGCAGAACAGACAGTAATCGCAGCAAATTTCCTCACCCTCCTTAAAGTCATCAATGACGTACCACCTTTGAGTCCTTGAGTATATTGGTTCTGGTTGAAGGACTCCCCAGTACTCATCCATCCATGGCATTTTGTTCTCTCTCCTTACCTTCTCCCTCTTCCTCCTCTCAGACTCATTCTCACCTGAAGGCTCCGCAGTGGACTGATAAGCATGGCTTCCTCTCACGGAATCTCCGAACAAGTACTGATACAACCTCTCTTTGTCCTGCAACACGTGTTCCAAGTTGGGATCATGGAGGCTATTCGCTTCGGTCAAGGGATCCGGTGCCATAAAGCAAGAAGCGAGCATCTTTTCTCTGAACAAGTGCTTTTCCATGACAGCGTGGACCAAAGAGGTTCCAGACTTCATAGAGTAGGGGTGACCGCTTCCGGCGACCGAAATGGCTCGCCAGAATCTGTCCGACGTTGTGGACATCATGCCATTCAGCGACAGCTCGTCCTTGATCATGTTGGC